CCCATCCGGGCCGGCGCAGTGGCCGCCGACAAACGAAACGCAGCCGGAACCACCTGCTCCCGGTGCTGGACCAGCCTCCCGACGCCTGGCGCCACGCACATCCTGCCGACGCAGCTGACAGGAAGGTGAGAGGATGTCGTTGCGGTCAGCCGTCCGGCACAGGCAGGGACCGACATCCGGCGAAAATCGAGTGTGAAAACGTCATCCGGCAGGAGACAGCTGAGACGGATGAGCCGAGCAAGTGAGGATGACGTCACGTTCCGGCGGAATGGAGGAGGAGGGCGACGGTCTCGACTCCGGATGCGAGACGGGATGTCGCCAATTTTCTGCCCCGGTCAGCGAGGCCCGGCGACGCCCGGAACCTCCGGCCCGGAAATCACAGGAGAACAAAAACTCAATGCAGAAGAAGAAGGGGACGAGACAGACCCGGGACGGATCACCGGAGGTCGACCACCAGAGACAGAACGCCTCGGGACTCGGCGCGGGACACCCCCCCGCCCGGCTTCGGCCGGAGCGGCCTCTCTGCTGATCGGATCATCACTGCACCGGACCTCAGCTGGAGTGGACAGCAATCATCAAACACTGTCAAGTGAGTCATCTCATCTGTCCGCCCCATCAAGACTGCCTCCCGTCATGGACAATTCACCTCCCATTTACCCATCGGATGTCTCTGATCTGGATTACAAATGCCACTCCCTGAGGTCTAACTTGAGCCACCATTAGGAGGGTAATGGGTTAACACCGTGCAGGGGAGGGCGGTAGGATGGTCTCGCGCGCTCCATATTGCGTCCCGGCCGGGCAGACCGCGGTACGACCTGTTTGTAAGGGAGGGCAGATGGTCATTACATTCCGCTCCCGACCGAGTAGCGCGGCAGTGGTGCGTCTGTTTGTAAAGACGGGGAGGGGTGTGAATGGGTCCGACTAGTCCGGCATTACCAATGGGGTGGGGAGAGGGTTAGCGCGACAGCCGGGGCGGGTCAGTAATGGTCAGTGTAGGCTAATGGCTCACCATTACATTGGTATTGGGGGAGCGCTATCCGTCGGCCATCGCGCGCGCGGTCTGGCAGCAGTGAGGTGGGGGATTCAATGTATGAGGGGAGGGGAATAGGTCAGGTGGTGTCATTTTTGGGGCGCTGGTCACTATTGACGCGTCAAACTACGTCAGATGACGTCATGACGGTTCAATTCGCGATGGTTTGTAATTAAGTTCTCTGCAGTTAGGGCGTTGGGATTAGATTTAAGGCTAAGTTGGCATTGGCGAGCTGACAACCGATCGTGGTACACCGGTTGAAAATGACCAGCATTGTATCGTCCGTTTGTAAATATAGCGTGAAAATTCAATAATCTGTCTGGGAAAGAAGGGAGGGTTACTTCAGATATGTTGCTGATTCGGATTCACAGAGACCGCTAACGTAATTATCTTTAAGTTGTCACGTCGACCACACGACCTTACGCCGGCATAACATCACAGACTCACCGGGACTGCACCGCGGCGATCTGATCGCGAATCAACGGAAATGCAATGATCACTCCTCACCATGCGACCATCACAGATCCCTTTTTTTTTTGTTCGAAGCTAGTAGGTCAACATAAGCCGTTTCATAATCTAACTAGTTTGAACTCGGTAGGCCAGCGTATCAATCCATTGTCAATCTAGTGTTAATCCCAAGTCTGTCAATCGATTCTCAATTCTTACAAGTGCTGTTCGAGATAAATCGACGGTCAGCGTAGGATCGCCACATTCCTGGGACAGATTCACCATTTGGATAAGGTTTGATACGAAGGCGGCCCAAGAAGTCGTAACGTGTTCAGTTACATTCGGATAAGGAGAGTAAACATAAACATCAAACATTATTCTGCTCCTTCGGCAGCTCAGCGCCAGAACAAGAACGCTGGGGGTCTGAATCGCCTTCCGGGTTGTTATTAAATCAGCATTGAGTCGTTTCGTGATTCGCGTTCATATAACCGATACAAATCTGAATCACCATTTCAATCGTTATAAATTTATCGCTGTTCGTAACCTGTCAATCAATCCCCCTTTCTCTCCTAGCATCATCAGTACCTAACTGATATTGATGCCAGCTCCCCCTTCGAGGTATATCAAAGATTAACGTGGAAATGTCACGGTTGTTAAATTGATGCATCATTTGAGACAATTACACATAAACATCAAGCGAGTTACCGTTCAATGTGATGTGACTATGTCAAAATGTCACCCCGCTTGTACACATCTAGAGTTTGTTACGGAGGGAAGCGAGAAATTATCACCGCCCATTAATCACCATTCAGGTATGATAAGGACCGTTTTGTTCAGATCGGATTACTGAATAGTCTGCAGACCCCAATTAATTGACAGGAACCACGTAACGTGCACGGTCACACCACGCATTATGCCGCCGGCAGCATTTGCCTACACTTCCAGCCCACTCAAGTTAGTTAACACAGGGATTGTGAACGTGACCACGCCCACCCGTTCCTTGAAGTAATTTGTGATTAATTTTGGGAGTATGTTGGGCCCCGTGAGTTTTACTAAAAACTGAGCGATTGTAGTCCGCGCGAAATGAAAATGTATGACCTTTGACCTTAAACATGACCTTAAACAATTAACAGATCAATTGACGCACCAACGGTAGCACCACTAGCGCCACCTACAAGATCCATTTGCCTTCGGTACAAACTCCGATAGCGCTCAGATGCAGCTGACAGTACTAGCAGTGCCGCCTAGCGTGAAATAGACCAAGCTGGTTCCCTAAACTGCCGCAAGAGGTCCCTCTTGTCGGCACGCAATTGCGTGTGACTGACTGAAATGAGTGGGTGAGTGAGAGAGCAAATGTGAATGATCAGAGTGAGCGAGAGAGAGAGAGAGAGAGAGAGAGAGAGAGAGAGAGAGAGAGAGAGAGAGAGAGAGAGAGAGAGAGAGAGAGAGAGAGAGAGAGAGAGAGAGAGGGGGAGGAGGAGGATGTCGAAGCAAAACGTTTTAATTCAGTCTTTACAAAGATCGACCCCATAAATGAAAGCTTTTGGTACGAATTAGATGCGTGGCACTCTACTGCCACCTAGCCCGTATAACCTACAACTACATCCACTAGGCGGCGCCAAAAGCGTCGGTGAGTCAGAATGATCGCCGGTCAGGCGTGGAACAAGGTCATGTCACCGCTAAGCTCATAATTACCAGCATTTTAAATGGTTATCACCTAACTCTCTGCGTTGGCTTAAATCACAGATATCGTATAGATTCGATGAAATATCTTTTGTTTAAAGAACTCAGACCAACAGCAAACCCAAGGTCTGAGTTTCAACTTCGTTTCAACATCTAACAAATGAGGAAATCAAACAAGATAGCTTTTGATCACCGGGCACATTCTCAAAGGAATTAGCATTTAGAGATCATTGCATGTAATTACGTTCAATTTGTCGAACCCCTTCAAGTCCTTTCAAGTAAGGCGTGATAACTCATTTAACCAGCAGGCAACGTGACCGTCATGTTAATATAACCCAGATAAGGCCAACGGCAAAGACAGTGAATCTCACGAGCACAACCCGGTCCCTCGCCGCTGGATCGGAAAGAGCGCTGGTCAGCGGCCCTCAGCTGCACCGCGAACAATGCACCAATATGGACCTGCTGAGAGAAACAAATTATCTGTTAAGACAGCTGGACGAACCCTTCTTTCAACGATTGACCCACGATGACCTCAGTAGAAAAGACGGACAAATTTGCGGGTGGTCAAAAAAGGGGAGAATAGACAGCAGCCACATATGATCAAAAATTTAGAAAATTTTGGTGAACAACTCTACGGTCTGATTCTGGGAGAAACTGGTTACCTTTGTCAGTCGAAACCAAACTGTACATCGCGAGGCACGCTACCAAATCAGATTAGTAGACAATTATAGGCTAAAGGCAGGAATGGAGAATTATTTGGTTATGATTGAGCGTGCATCACTAAAACCTCGAAATTGGAAGAAAGTGACATGGCTGAGTCAGATGGTGTTAGATTCAACTGAGCAGCACCAGGGACTTATGAGGAAATTGCACCAACCCCAGTCACATTTCTAGTGTCGTTCCCTCAATATGTCAAAGGTCATTGCCACCCCAAGCCTTGGAGGACATTCACCTCATGTCATGCGTGGTGTGAAAAGTACTGACAACCGTACTTACAAAGTTTTGGAGGGATATGTAGAAATTAATGAATGCAGATGATAAACAGCAACATGTATCAATTCAAGTCAGATTATTCCCAGTAACACCTAAGGTTATGTGATCCCTTTCTATTGACATGATCTATTGAACATGGAATTTCAATGTCAACGATCATTGACCTCACAAGTCACAACTGATCTCATATCTGGCCTCGGATGCTAACACCACAGTTTCGGACCAGTGTGGTTTCACTTAAAAAGGGATATCCTGGAATTCAGTCCCACGCACAAGGGGGAAAAGCTCAAATTATTGAGCGCTCAAAAAATTGAGCGGGCCCCATTATGAAGGAATAGGCGAAACGATGGTATGCCTCTATGCCTCTAGCGTCCCACTACGGCAAATATCGTATCCAAATAAGGTATCAATGGCAAGAGAGAGCAACAAGGTTTCTTCTCGAACACTCGCCGTGATAATTTATATCGGTGTTTTTGGAAAGAAAATGCCCTAAAGACGCTCAACTTTTTGAGCGCCACTTGTCGTTCGGGACCGCGATACTCAATAAATTGAGCGCCACGACAGACGACAGTCAGCTGGCGCTCAAAAAATTGAGTGCCGGCCAGCATCTACACTCAATTTATTGAGCCTTCTCCGTGACAGGTGAAGCCGGTACTGGCTGCCATTTTTGATGTTATGTTCGTTGAAATACGTTAATCTGAGTTGAAACAGAAATGCAGGAAGTTGAATGCTAACGTGGTACCTAAACTTTTCACAAACCCATGGCATCATGTCACATTTTCCGCTAGTAGTTTTATCGGTCGCCTTTCGGATTCGGCACACCTCAAATAATTATACAGGGCTTGAATAATCCGTATGAATACTGTATTGATATTTTCTGACAGTACTGGGATAAGGGAATACGTGATTACAGAAAGATATCCACCCACGCTTGAATATTGGAGAATTATACAGGAAAAACTGTATTGCCACGGTTACAACTTACGAGGCCATCGGCCGCAAACAAACAAAAATACTATACAATGTGGGTTAGATTCACAAACATCAAGTGTGGAACACAGAGACGAGCAAAACAACATCACATTATCGCATGCCAGCCCGACCACATTGGAACCGGGTGAGCTGCGACCGGAACCTGCGTCTTGCCAGCATACATCACAAAAGCAGGAGGCAGTGTCGTACTGCTTTGATCCAAAATATGCCATATAACAAATGATATAAACGACCTAAGCTCGGACTAAGCTTATCATTATCAAATCCTTAACATGTAAAAGACGAATGGAAACATCGAGTCTCAGACCAGCAGTAGCAACCATCACAGTAGCAACATCACAAAGAACACGCGGCATTATCAGACAGCCGTTTTGTTATCGGGCTACAGGCGGCGACGGCGTGGTTGCAGACCAGCTGCGAGGTAGCGGCGTGCGGGCAAAAGGCGCGGGCACACCTCCATGTGGCCGTGCGGACAGTGCGCGGTCGGCGTCGCATAGTGGGCGGCATCGGGCTGTCCCGGGGCCGTCGAAGCCGCACAGGTTGTCGGCGCATGTGGGCGCGCGCGGTCACCACGGCCAGCTGCTCACCACCAGCACAGACTGCGCAGCGTCGCCGCTCCGCCGGCCAGAACACGCAGACAACCCTTCTTGCAGTTGCACAACACGTCGCCAAACTCATTCCCCTGCTCCACCATGTTGTTGATGTCACCGAGTCGTTCAAGTTGTGGCTCGTGCCGTCGAGCATGACCTGCCCGATCGGACACGGGTCAGCGGCTTCTGCTCCAGCGAAGTCTTCATCTTGGTGACGTCTTGCTGATCTCCACAAAGGCTGAGCAGATGACCTTACCCACAGGGACGGCCGACGTCCTCGCCAGCGACCGCTTGGTTGTGCAGACCTGCCAGAAAAAGAAAAGCTGTTTGGTGATCTCAAACGATTTTCTTTTCTTTATGCAGTGGAACAAAATGGAAAATATGTCATACAACAGGAACTAAAAAAAGATGCAGCCTAGGTCGTCTAAGAAATGGGTGCAACATTGATAAAATTCTTCCTTGAATGAATTCTACAAATGCTTTTGATAAAATGTGTGGTGATTATAAGGAGACCACTTTACTATAAAATTGCTCAGGATTCCCTATCTGGACCTGTCAAAAAATCCTGACTGCACACCAACAATGAGCATTAAATCCGAAACCTCTACCAGGTACCTAGGGATAATTAAATTCTGATTCAGGAAAATATTTCACATCATACAAATAAAAACCTTTACTATATTGAAACTGAAAATGTGATGCCGATCCCGTGACCTAAGGGTCTCAAAGTATAATAATGAATTAATCTATTATAAATTTGGTGGTGACTGCCAACTGGCGTCTGGCAGCCTAGACCTTGAGGCTTGAAAGTGGCCTTCCTTTTCCGTTGACTCCGATCCTCCAGATGGAAATGATATAAATGATCATTTTTATCTTATTTCAAATGAGCCAGTCAGCAAAGTGGCTATCCTGTTTCAGCATTCACACACACACAATAGTTGACTGTCAGTCTGTCATGCTGTCAGTGTTGTGAACTAAGTAACGAAGGAGTTGAGTTTTGTTGATTTTAAATTGTGATATTATGTAAAGGACTGGAAAATGAATGTGAAAACTATGGAAACATATTGGCAGAGTATTGTCACTTACTATCAGGACATATGGATAGAGAATACATTCAACTTAATAAGAAATGTCAAATATCAAGGTACTCAATCACTGATAGCAGTGGACTATCATATGTTTTAATGTCAATTATATGAAAGTTAAGACTGAAACTACCTTTTACTTCATCATACCTAATGAAAAATTGTGTGAAGAAAACATTCACAGCCTCTTTGAAGCACTTAGACCACTAAAAAACAAAAATTTTCACGTAAATATGTTGTGTCTCTTTCCCTCAAAACATCATATCGGATGGCGCCACTTTCGTCGACAGTTACTTATCTGCACGCAAATCGAGGAAAACGTGAATTGATTGACGTTTACGTGTTTCCAAAGTTAAAATCACAGCATATTCAAACTTTTCAGTGTACCTTTTAACATCTAAATATAACTAAAACGATAAAAACTTACCTTCAACACAAGGACGACGACAACCACGCGACCGGAGACGTCGCGACGAAATAAACAAACGGCGCCGCCAAATGAAAAATATTCTCTGATATGGGTGATGTGAAATTGAGTCGCAATCATTTTGGGTAGTATGAAAAATGCTCTTTCCAACAGAACCCTAGTAAAAAACGTGAATGGACAAAAAATAACTTTTATTTCGACATAAATATTGGCCTGTTTTTAAGGCATCCTGGTATGCCGTAAGATTTCGACCTAGAAATTGGTGTTCCCCCAATCATTGAAGCTTGAGCAGTGAAAAATATGAAAGCCTAATCTGTTTTGCATCATTAGTGATTCTCCTAGGGTGTTGCCATTTCTCCCTAGGTGTTGCGAGTTGCTTTTGCAAAACGTGTTCCTGAAACGGCTCAATTTTTTGAGCCCTCAGCATTACGCCTATGGGAGCCTCTGACGTCACACGCTCAATATTTTGAGCGCTCAATAATTTGAGCTT